AGGGGAGTCTTTCCTTAAACCAGGCGGAGCGGCGTGGGGAACCTGCCTGGCGTTGTTCTGCACGGAAACCACTAGAGAGCAGTGTCAGAGTGCGCTGTCAGAGTGCCCCGCAAGCGCCGCCAGTAGAGGAAGCTTTCCTGGTCTGTTACGGTCCCAGCAACAGACTCTGAGTTGCTTAAAATGATTTTGGAGCTCTCACTGTAAAATGAGAATAGTATGGGTAATCTTATATCCCTGTGGATACCAGGAGCCGGGAGCAGCGTAGCATTGAGTAGGATGCCAATCCATGGCAGGATGAACATACTCTGCATAGTAGAGATTTATACATCAAGAACTTAAGTTTTAGCTACTGATTTCACAAACTACAACACAGTCCTGATAAATGGTGGGGGGTTTTTTTATTGGTTTGGTTTTTTAAGTGTCTTCAGCTTGTTATTGAGACAAGATCCATCTGGAAAGTTTGAATGTCAGAATAAATAAGCATTTTCAAGGATATCTAAAGTTTTCAATATTTCAATTACAATAACTTTTTCTTAGTTTATTGCTCCAAATTGCTTTCCTAAACTACTTGAAAACACATAGTAAACAACTCTTGTTCAGTAACATTTTATCCATTGTTATTATTTGCCACAAGTATAATATATTCATATTTTAATTATATGATTATTGAAACATTAATAAGAATGCGTGTTTTTAAAAATATCTACACTTACGGTGCTCACATTTTTTAAAAAAAATCTTTATTTCCACTCTGTTTCTTTCATGGTAGAAGTTATTACTGAGTTAATTAATGACATGGAAATGATGTAGCTTAAGGAGCTATCTGAGCACAGCCAACACAACAGAAATACATCCATAAGCAAAAAGTGATTTAATAAACTTAATTTCAGTAAGTAGAAATTGCCCGGAGTTTTTTTCAGATTAAGAGATCCTTCAAAAAGAACAAGCCAAAGAACCGTGTTATTTCACTTAGCAAGTCAAGCAGCAGTAGGTAATCTGTGGTGCACTGAGTCTGGCTGTGATAATAAACTCATTTGCGGTACGATGTAATGCTAAGATGTTAATGCGAATTATGTAACTGCATATAACTTACAAACACAAAAACGAGCAAATGTAAAGCAAATATTACTAGTGAGATGACCATCTCACTTTATTTATATTTGTTTCTGATTTGCTTTATATACAGAGAGTTATAGGTAGACTTGAAGAACATATTACTCATTTAGCTGTCAATCCTTTCTTTTAACTAAGGTTCATATATATTTATATCGCAAAATAGTCCTCACTGGTTTTCTTTTGAATATTTCCAGTGCTTAAATGCAGAAGTGGTAATGTACTTCTCAAATAGCTGGTAAATCAGGTAATCACAAGCCATTCCTACCCATCAACCTTTCACTCAAGATTCCCATGTGCACATGGTCACTCTCCAGGAATTCTGAACTTGGTGATGGACAAGCAGCTGTAAAGGTAATGTACGATATTTACAGTCCTTGAATCATGATATTAATGTCTTGTGAATATTTGACAGTCCTATTAAAGAAAATAGGATCAGTCTGGTAATCTTTTGGCTGCTGTAGTGTCTAACAAGTTGTAATCCTTATCTTCCCTGCCAGCAAATTCCTCATTAAGCACAAGATATCCTAAAACACATCACCAGTAAAACCTCTTCAAGATGTTAATATACGTAGGATTCTTTTAAGCAGATAATTGAACTAAAACACCCCCAAAAATTGGCATGCTGAAATTCTCTAAAAGACTTCTACACAGTGAAACCTATGATTTTGGTGAAATGGTCACTGTTAGGCACAGGAAGACAAAACAGGTTTAGTATCTCACTACAAACATAAAATTCTAAATTCTAAATTCTAAATTAAAACATATAAGTTTATGTAAATATCTCTTTTATGAGTGAATCCAAACAGATATTTTAATCCATCCAGAGACCTTTCAAGTTTAGTTGGGCACACATTGCATTTTTTTCATGCAATTTTGATGTAATAAATATTTAAGTCCAAGCATTTTGAGTAAGATTGTTAATATCAGGGGCTGAGAGCCAGAATTGAAGAGAAAAAGAAGGAAATATTCAGGAGAGTTGAGTCATAACTGATAATTTGTATCGGTGGTGGCTTCAGCAGACATAAATAATTATGGACACATCTATGTCTTTCTTGTACCAGAATGACTACATAGAGGTCTGTTTCACCTGTGTATGTAGCAGAACACGTGGGTAGAAGTTGTCCTACACCTTCAGGGACTGAGAAATTGAAGTCACAGGGTCTCATAAAATTCAAGTTGGAAGGAAACTCAGGAGATCATCTAATCAACCTCTAGTCTTACAGTTTATCTTACATAGGTGATCTTTTCTTGCCTTGGAGTTTATATCCTCTCCACCCCTAGGCCCAGCTGTGTGTCTGTGTTTATTTTCACAGCATCGATTCATCTGCCTAAGGCTCAGATGCTGCCCACGTTTGACAAGGCAGTGCAATAAAATCCCCCATTGATTTTCCAGTTTGGAGTTGAAAGGGACATAAATTTCAACAGTCTGAGAGCAGGGCTGCTCTGAAAGTCCCCCACCTTCAGAGAGGTTCAGCAGAGGTACAGAGGTGGCGTTTCCATCCTGCACCATGAAGTGGGGTAGGGGAGAAGAGGGAAGGAGGAGGCAGAACAGCTGCAGCAGCTGGAGTTGCCAGGATAAGCCTGCCTAGCAACACCCCTTCTTAGGCAAGGGCATCTAATTCAGAAGCCACAGCAGCATCAGAAGCAGCCCTGACACTTTGTGAGCTGGGTGCATGTTAGGGAGCATGAGAGCTGTCAAAACACCAGCCTTAAAGATCCGAATCCTCCTCAGTTTGTTGGTAGGTACACTACCTAGTTCTGCTTACCAGAACTTATTCCTGTGATCTGTGCATACAGAAAGAACTTATTAAAGTGAAACAGCTATTTATACCAGGCAATTTTTGGATTTTATTTTAGTAACGTAGAAACAAAGAGTAATAGAAGGCTATATTGGAAAAATTATTTGTATCATTCTATCTTATTCCATTAAAGTTGTGATGAGCAATTGTATAATATAGTGAGTGAATATATTTTAATAATATATAGAAAAAAATAGCAGATTGTATGGGTAGAAATTATTATCTTTTATTAGAATTAGAATAAGCCCAGGGTGCATTATCTTAGAGTATTCTGTTCTGTTCATATAGAGAGTGTAAATTTTAATATATGACTAATATATCTGTTAGGATGCATTATATATATATATACACATACACAAGTATTATGTATATCATGTTATTGCTGCAGTTCAATTCATATGGTATGAGGATGCTGCATTCTACCTGTAATAGGCTTATGCAATCTTAATTTTTTCTATCATTGGACAGATCAAAATAACATAGTGATTGTATTTGTATACCCCTAGAAATTATTTTTTTTTTCCCTCCAGAAGTTGAAGAGTGTGAGATACGCCAGGCTATGTTTCTGCATTCGGTTTGATTTCTGTGGAAAAATTATAGACTTGGGAGATGGCACTCATCCTTCCCCTGTTCTCATACTGTTTTTTATGGTGTCTATTAATTTTTATTATTTTTTTGGCAGGTGATATTAGTGGAGGGGTGGCATGATTTGGATAACAAAGACTATGACTGCTGGCCCCTGGAAAAACCAGATGAGTATAACATGCTGGACTGTGGAGGTGAGTGAGTCATTAAACTGATCAAGAAAGGTGATATCTTACTTGGGGAATGTTTGAAAACCCAAAATTGAAGTATTCAGAATAATACCTCACTCATGATGACTCTATCCATGTTAGAAAGCAAATGAATCAGGAACAACCTCTCTTCCTAGAGAAATAAGTAAAAGAAAACAACTAAAATATACTTCAGAGCAGTTATTTGTCCAGTATTCAGTGGTTCCAAAAGAAAAAGTAATAGCAACAGCTGAATCCCTTCCTCCAGAAAGAAAGAAAACATTTTCTTTCTCATTAGAAAACCAAATGCAATTTAATCCAAACAAAGCAGGCTGGCAACTCTGCATTGCAGCAAATCTATTGAGTCATTGCTTAAACTCTGTAGTGCAGTTCTAAAGTGGTCTGGGCTTAAAATCTTCAGCCAGTAGGCAAAATCACTGATGCTATATGTCATGTTTTTCCACCTTGCTCAAAACTTTGTTCCATGAGTACTTCAAAAACCCTTGAGATTTGTAACCATTTACTCCTATCAGTTTCAAAAATTAATTTACACGATGAGACAACAAAAAAAAGCAGAATAATTTCTAGGTTGGTAATTGATTGAGATGGAAAAGTAATTAGAGAGCAACCGAAATTTAAGTATAAGAAAAATTTCTTACACCTCAGAGGTGATAAAACAGTGTAACAGGTTCCTCAGTAAGGTTGTGGTTTCTCCATTGTTGGGGATTTTCAAAACACAATTAGACAAAGGCTAGAGTAACCTCCTTTCAGTGACCCTGCCTTGAGCAACACGGATTTGGACCAAATGATTTCCGGAGGTGACTTCTAACTTCAAATATTCTGTGACTTCGTGACTCTGTAACAAATAAGTAGCTGATGTAAAGGAACACTTTGTTTATGTTGTAAAAGATAGCATCAGAGACAAGTATTTCAAAAGAGGTTTTAGAAAAAGCCTGAGAAGCTGATACTGATAAAACACTCCAGGTAATACACTGCTGTTACATTTAAACATTTTCCAATTCATTCTACTGGAACAGTGAAATGAAAAGAGCATTAGATCCCTCTAAAAATTTACAATTGCTTTAACATTGAAACAGCTATTTATTAGTACAGATGACTTGTTTAAAGCTATTCTTACTAATAATCAAAGTGTGAGCTGAGTACAAGGAAGACTAATGCAAGTAAGTTGCTTAATTAACATACACCCTTTACAACCAGTTTTAGAATCAACTCCAAGCTCTATCCTACCTTTCTCTGGGGTTCTTGCCGTTTTCTAGGCATTTGCCAAAAGACACATGTACTGTAGCTTCACTGCTGCGGATTTAAACAAAAGATCTTCAAAGCTTCTTCTTCTTTGTATGTGGGTGTATCTATTGTTGAAAGATACCTTTATAAGACCTTTAGAAAAAAAGTAGGAAGTAATTTAACTAAAATTTATGCTGACCTTTTGCCTTCATTCTCTCATGTTCTCTGAAGCTCAACTCTCTCACCTCTTAGTGCAAATCACACTAGCTTTTTTTTTTTTTTTTGTAAACCTTTGTATTGTAGTTTCTTCGTGTGAGTATTTATAATGAGTTTTTAATTTTCAACAGAGATTGGAAATAAAGAGGTTATCTTACAATTTACCTAGTTATATCTGGTAGGAAATCATGTTTAGGAGAAAAAAGTAGTGGGTGCAGTAACAGTGCAAGTGAAGAATATACTTGTAAAAACAAGTACAGGATAGCAAAAGAGTTCATAACTGAACAACAACAACAGAAAAGGGAATCTCTTGTAAGGCAGATTTACCCATTCTCTACAGAAGTGATTTAATACTTCTTGACAAACTGAATGCTACACAGTTGCAGGATGTAAGTAAAGTGATGTAGTGCATATTAAAACCTTCAACCAACAATATATGAAAAGGTAGGTGAACGGAGTGGAAAAATTTTGATGGTGTTATTTAAGATTATGGATTTAAAACTTCTCCCACCTCTTATACCACTTCATTCCCAGGCCTAGAGTAGATAATATGGAGTCCCAGGGAAAAGAGAGACAATTGGGATAAATCATCTTTCCCTCTTAAAAGAGTGGGAATAGAAAATGACAGGTGTTTGAGCAGAGCTCCTTCCACTGTCCTCTGTTCCAGATGTGATAGGGTTTATAAAATAAGAATGCTTTTTAAAATATGTAATTATTAGTGTATAAAATTTATGTCTCATGAAGTTAAAGGTTTCAACTGAATTTTGTGTGTGGTAGAGTTGTCTGTTCTTCCATAATAAAATACACCTCAATGAGAGCAGACAAGAATTAAGAGTAATTTTTATTTTGTGATCCAAGGGGAAAGCAAATATATCAGGACAAGCAGCAATACATTATACTGGAAACAAAGCTAGATTATGTAAGATGAACAGATTTTTTGTCACATTTCTCCAACTGCAAGATCTTTTCCGAATGAGTGTCAGAACTTTTCAATTAATGTGCATTTGTGGTTACCTGTACAGCCACTAAAATTGATGATGGATTGGGGCTCATAACAAGCAGTGGAAGAATACTCGGAGGGTTACTCAGAGGGTAGTGGGGCATTGGAACAGGTTGCCCAGAGAAGCTGAGGGTGCCCCATCTCTGGAAATGTTCAAGACCAGGTTGGATGGGGCTTTGAGCAACCTGGACTAGTGGAAGGTGTCCCCACACCATGGCAGGAGGACCCATGGAACTAGATGATCTTTAAGGTCCCTTCCAGCCCAAACCATTCTATGATTCTATGAATAGATGAAAATCAATACACAGAAAGTTTTACATTTGTGTGCATCTGTTGAATAAAATAGTATAGTAAATATTTTGGCCCATGATTGTGTCATTTCTAGGACTGGAGATGATGTGGGTGCAAAGGCCTCCAGAAAAGGCTGTGAGTGGGGAATCTTTCAACGTGACCTATGCAGTCTTTGCTTCAGACAGCTTTTATCAATATGCAGTGCAAAATGGAATCCTTTCCCACAGGTATTGCTTCCCATAAAAATGTTATCATGGTCATGAGTATGTGAGGATTCTATGTGTACATACTCATAAATATAATTGGAATATAGGGTCTGGGGATCCTCACTAATTCCTTGCATGTTTTGAGGTCTCTTATAGCTCTGTTTTCTCTGATATTTCCCCCTCTGCAATGACTTTGCTCTCAGAGGATCTACCATGGCATACTTTCCTGCTTGGTCAAAGATGGGGCACATCACTAATGTCTCAGTGCAACTCTGAACATCAGTTCTTGCTTCTGTACACACGGAATTTATAACTGAAGTTTAAGCACGAGTCTCAGACCAACTGTATATCCTAAACTCATTTTAATCATAAGAATGTTTGAAGTGCACAAAATGGATACGAAAAAGATGCCAGTCCAACACTGAATCCACTGAATTCAGTGGTGAAACATTTTGTTTTCTGTGGGATTAAAATCAGTCCAAAAGCTTATATATCAACTCAGGGACTGTGTTGTGGACATCAGTAACTAAGTAGAGAATGTTTATTTGTACAAATCCAGATCTACAGATCTGGATCTAGAAATCCAGGGCTAATACACCCTAATTTTACACTTCTGTCTGTGCATAACAATTCTCTATTCATTTATAGAAATACCTGGGTCAGAGGCTGCAGCTGTGTTTCCCTGCTTTCTGAGAGATGTTCATGGAAAACCTCAAGTTTTTTGCTGTTGTTCTGAGTGTTTACATTACAAAGTTAAGATCTAAAAGGTGTTATCCTGAGATTTTTTTTTCATATTAGAAGATGATTTATAATTCATTTGCAATGGCAAAAATTTAATACTTTTTTTTTTCATCTGTGTACAATGTTTACAAAGTTTTTTTAAATTTGTTTATCACATTTTCTGAAGTGTATGGCTACTAATAGTTCAAAGATCTCAACCATTAAGCAGATTTTTTCACTTCTAGGGGATGGATCTGATTTTATAGTCTTCCTAGGGAGACCCACTCTCTCAAACCACTAAAGAATCTGGAAAAGTCTTCTTTTCATGTACTTATACGTCTTGCAATAGAGACAGATGGCAAATACTTTTAAAGAGAGACAAATCTATGCTGAAGTCTTTCATTGCACCTTATTTTGACTAGAAGATTATCTGGTTGACACTTAAGGTTACAATGACTGACTGAAGTACATCTGGCTGGAAAGTCAGTGTATGGGCATCAGCAGGGCTGGGTGAAGCCATGATGAAGTTCTTGAATAAAAAATGCAGAATACAGGATAAATTTTAAAAAGCAGCCCTAGAGAAAGTGTGTGATTGAATTAAACACCAGCTTGATTGTGTATTTTTCTTAATTCCCAGTATGAATTCAAAGGCCAATAAATTTTAATATTTTATCTGCTCAGGTATTTGGGGGATTGACAGATTTGCTTATCTCAGGTTTCAAGTATTTTTATACCTTTGTAAGTCTGGCCATGAATACAATCTCTATTAACCTAACACTCTATATTTGTGTTTATTTCTTACAATTAACACAGTCTTCTCATAATAAACACAGTCTTGTCTTAAATCTACTCATTACTAGGCCTTTTTTCAGTAAAAACAAGTTGAAAAATAAATCCCTGCGTTCTGGAACTGTTTTATAGAGATCTATCACAAGTGCATAGCATTTAAACTAAACTACGAATAAGTCTGGCTGTGTCTACTGAGTAAACCATGTTTGCAGAATATTATTTTATCTTAAAGCAAAATTTATGAGAGTGATAACCAACTGAAAGTGTAACTGAGGAAGCAGTGTTGCATCACACATTTCCAGGTGACTACATTCATCTTTCAGGAATGAAATTTCGAAAGTCGTTTTGTAGGACAGTCTATTCATAAAGTCTGCGTTTTGCTTCACATTTTCGATTTGGGGAATTGTATCTGATATTATTATCCAATATGATTATTTTCCTTGGCAATTTCAATTGTGGAGCAAAGACTGGAGCTAAATAATCTGTATGAATCACGTGCATAGATGAAGGTATATAACTGAAAACACTAAGACTGAAAGTAGCCAGGGGCACATATATCTGATAGTGGAAGTTGAGTAATGGTGTGTTTGTGTTAGATGAGGTAGTGCCACCTAATCCCACCTGGTCACGAAGTCAGGCTGGGGAGAGAAGTTGAGGTTGGTTCCTGGTTGCAGCACAGTGCCTACCAGATGTCCCTACTGCATGGCAGTGGGCAGTGGCCCAGCTGACAACAATCTTCTTTGCTCCAGGAATGTTTCAAACAGGAGTGAGACAGAAGAGAAAGAAGTGGTGCAACAGTGTTTAGGTCTCTTCATGCGTTTTTGCTGCTAATTTTTCTGAGAAGGATAAAGAACACGGTGTCATGTACTTGTTGCAATTTTTGAGAATGAGAAATGGATGTAAAAGTTTTTCTCTCTCTCCTGCTTGGCTAGCAATGCTCCTGCTGCAAAGGAATTCTGTGAGGAGCATGAATGCCCTGCCAGATGGAAAGATGCAAATGAGGAGAACTGCTGTGTCTACCATGCCAACATTCATTCCTGTCCTTTGGCCTTCATGGTTAGTATGATGGTACAGAATAATGTGCTCTGTTCTTGCTACTGGATGAAACGTCATTTTAATAACCAGGTTGAAGTTCACGAAGTCTTTCTGTAATTGCAATTAGACCAAATCTATAGTTCACTAAAACCACTGTGGCGATGTCTGTCAGTTTCAGAATTTTTTTGCACTGGATCCTCAGGCCACAAAGCAAGTGGCTGGATCTTTGGGCAAGGCGGTATATAGAATCTCTCATTATGTTTAGTGGGGCCAGTTTCATAATTTCGAGATTACCTGACTCGGATTTCTGTACAGTCAATAAGGAAAGAAAGACAGATCATCGCATTCTAAAACAAGCAAGGCAAATTTTCTGTTGGAGGTATTCCTGCCTCTCCAGCTTATAGAGGGAACATGAATGATTTGCTTGGATTACTAGAGTTGAGGGGTGTAATGGTTTGAGAGCCCCAAAATCCAGTTCTCGAGTCCAAGCCCCCTCCCACATCTCAGCCCAGTGTGAGATGGGTTTTCCAGACACCACACAAGACTCAAAATGGGGGGAAAGGATTATATTACAATGACTTTACAAATAGATATTATAATACATTACACACACAATCTCAACTATCTCTACCATGATAAAACAGTATTTACAATGGATCAAATCTCTTCTCTCTCCAAATAGAAGTCCAGGAGGGAAGAAGGAAGAGATCTTTTCCACTCTCAGAGCAGCAGTGTCTCTAGGGCATCAGTCTCTCTCCTTCCATGCAGCAGCTGTAGCTGGATCTCTGCCAGTATACACAAGGGGGATCTCCAAGCCCTTCTCGGCCCTTCGACTCCAAGAGAGGGTCTTTCTCTTCCGTGGACTGCGTAGCAGGGACAAGGCTTGCCTCACCACGTCATATCATGGGGTGTAAGACCCCCATGAAGGTCCCTTCCTCAGGGGATTCACCCCTGAGTCAAAACATCTCGGGCAGCTTTCAGTTGAAGGCCTTTGCCTCAAGAGTTCTATCAGAGCTCCTGTGCTCTGTCTCAGGCTGTTGCTTGGCAACAGCAGTGAGAGGGGCCAAGGTCACCCCCTCCACAGTCCGTCTGGCCATCCCGGTCCAGCTTTCCAGGACGTCTGAGCTTTTCAGCCCCTCTCTCTTCTCAGTGCATGCTGCACTCCAAGATTACCACCCCTCTCCTCTCTAGGAGAGGTCTCCAAGGAGTTTGGGGAGTTTGTTTCAGTTCTTACCCAAACTCTCTCTCTCTCTGTAGAGTTTAGCTCTCTCTCTGCTGCTGACTCTCTCTCTCTCAGACAACTCTGTGTCTTCCTTGGCTACGTGCCGTCTCTGCTGCTTCTTCCTTATCTCTTGGCTTTCAGCCACAGTCTCCGTCCAGTGCTGTTTTTGCCACTGCTCCTGCTGCTTACAGTGGAGGAGAAAAACTCCCAGCTTCTCAGCTACAGACCTCAGTCCAGTTTAACACTGTTTCCAAGTTTCTATGACCTCAGCTGGGGGCTGGGGGGACGTGGCTCCCCAGAGGGGCTCCTGCCCCTTCTCCTTGTGTCTTTAGAACATGGCCATGCTCTCCAACAACAACTACTACAACCACCTTCTTTTCCAGTCTGGGTGATATGTCTATATTTTGCAGAAGCACTCATTGGCTCAACCCCAAGGGTCACCACCCCCTGGGGGTTTACCATTTTATAACTTCAGGGGGAAAACTTGTAGGACTGAAGCCTGTATACACATGTCCTGAGATAGAATGATTTTTCTCCATTATATCAGAGTAAAAAAAAGAATCCAAATACAGGATAACAAGTTTTTTTCATGCAGTATTAGCAAGATCCATTCTTAGCTTGTCTGCTTGGCCTGTCTCTGAATGAATACTTAAAGTTCTGATTTTAAAAACACAGTTTGGAACACCTTAATTTTTTTTAATCTGTCAGGTAAGCCTTACCTTGCATACTAACCTTCATGCAGTTGCCCAGTTTTTCTAGTTGAGCTCCCTTCTGGCAATGTGACACATTCTTACTGATCAAAGATGGTGTAATAGAAAACCCAGTCTACACATCTTGCAGCTGTTTCATATACCCTTCTGTGCAAAGGCCTAATTACTCCACAGGAGCTCTAGTTTGCTTCTTGGCAGTCCCTTTGTAAAGCTGTTTTCTTAATGACTCCCAGAGAGCCTTAGCTGAAACCAGAACTTTGGTTTAAAAGAGGAATCCCTGTTGGACCATCACACCAATACTTTTGTCTACAACCGCAGTAAAGAACTTCAACATCTCACCACTGGCATGACCTCTCCATTGTTTCTTACTTTCACAATTAGTACTGCTTGGAATTAATGTGTGGAACTGGCAAAAGCATGTTAGCCAACACGCATCATCTGGCTTCTTTGTAATAATGTAAATACTTTAGTTCCTGTTTAGAGTCAAACAGATTGACTTTCAAACAGCAAGGCCATGAGTATCACTGCATAAGATTGAACATACACTTCAAAGAAAGTTTTTTCCATTGTCTGAGAAGTTTTGTTTTTCACTTTTTGGGTTTTTTTTCAGTATCATGAGTTTTAAAACATACTATTTTTGTTACATTGACTCCATTTCTTTTGATTTAATCTATTTCTTATAGTCCTTTGAAACAAGTACCTGAAGAAATACCTGGAGATAGGAGACAGATTGAATCCTTTCAAAAAACCAAAAATCTTTGACAACCTGTGGTGGTTTGAAACTCCCAAGAATCTAATTTCTAAGTTTAAGCCCCCCTCCCACAGTTTGCCCCTGTGAGAGGGTTTAGTGATGGTATGGACTTGATATCTTTTTCATCCCATATGGAGAGTTTTCAGACAAAACACAACCATTCGTTATTGGGAGAAGGGGAAAATATTTACAAAGGTTTATTTACATCTACATATACATTAACGTTAAATTAAATTTCTCCTTTTCTTCAATAAAAGTCCAAGAAGAAAAGAGAAAAGTCTTTCTGTCACTTCTCAGGCCACAGTTCCTTCATTTCAGTTTTCTTGTGGCACTGGTTAGTGTCCTCCATTTTTTCCAAGGCAGCAGATTTAAGTATGACAGTCAGGATTTTGGTTCTTACTTTGTGGAAATTCCAACCCTGAGCCCAAGCTTTCAGGGGATTTCCTTGTAGATCTTCACTCCTCTTGGGTTAGAACATTGAAGGCAGCTTTCAGTTCAGTCTTACCAAAGCTCTTTTGCTCTGTCTCAGCTCGCCAGCATGATAGAAACAGCAACAGCAGCAGCAGAGGGCACGGCCACCTCCTCTGCATTCCGTCCTGGCTCAGCTCTCAGGACAACTCTGGGTTTTCAGCTCCTTTCTCTCTCTCTCTCTCTCTCTAGCTGCTGCTGCATTTCGGGACTCCATAGGGGTTTGGAAGTCCACCCCTCTTCAGGAAGTCTCTGGATTTTGAGAAAGTAATACAGTCTTACCCCAAACCAGCTCTGTTGAGTTTACCTCTGTTTTGTTGTCCACTCTCCCTCCTGCAGGAACATCTCTGCATCTTTCAGCCGGCTTCACGTTATCTCATTGCTACTGGCTATCTTTTTGGCTTTTAGCCATCGCTGTCTCTGTTCAGGGCTGCTCTGCTGCTGCTTTCAATGTCTTCTGCTGCTGCTGACAGTAAGGAAACTCTTCCAGCTCTTGATTACGGGACCTGGTCCAGCTTTGACACTATACTGGGTCTCCCGTAGCCTCAGCTGGGGGCTGGGGGCCCTTGGTTCCCAGAGAGGCTCACTGGCCCCCTGCTTCTTCCTGGCTCAGATCATGGCTACCTACCTCCTAAACTATCTTCACCACCTTCTCTTCTGTTTCTGTGGGTATGTAATTTCCGTAGGACGCGTGTGGACTTTTGACTGGTCCAGTATTATCAGTGGGGCAAATTATTGCTACCTCAGAGAAAAGGTTTTTCAAACCACCACACAGCCAAAATAGTCCTCCATGATTGCAGTTGTAGGAGATTTACATCTTAAATGGTTTTACTGAGAAATGCTGTGCAAACAGACAATGAAAAGGTGCATCACTTCCTCGCTAAAGAAAAGGGAAAAAACCCCTGCTATTTCAAAAGTAAAACTTCAATAAAACCCCTTGAGAAAAATATTAAAAGTGGGATATGATTCCGGTTCTAATACAGCAATTTCTGAAAAAGTGAATTAGCTTCATAGGGTTACTCATTCTGTGAGTACACCACTGGGGCTCATGTATTTTAAAAGGTAACAATATTTGTGACATTTTAACTCAGTATAGGAACAATTGCTTGTCTCTTATTTTATCTTTTATTTTGTCACAGAACAGTGTTGCTTGGGTTTTGGCATATTAATTGATTTAGCTATAAAGTATCATTTCATTTACTGTTTGAGAGCATGAGTAATTTTGAGAAGGTAAAAAAGAGGAGCTAGGACTTCCATTGTGTTGTGCTTTACTGACATAAGCAATATGTCTACTAAAGGGTAAAGGAGGAATTTGTGGTCCATGGATCCCAGATGATGGTCAGATATTTACTCACACTTTGTCTACTGCTGGAAAAATGAGCCAAAGAAACTGGACTACCAAGGTAAACTATATTTATTACATATAGCATTTTACTTGGTTTACTCTTTTCGGAGCTTACTTGCTAGTAATTTAAAGCACTTCATTTATATGCTCCTCAACCATTTATTTATGTGTTATGTGTGTAAATGATGCATACAGCTGAGTAATACCGATTCCCAACTGACTTGACTTGAAAGCATCAGTTTTATGCCTTATGTAGTTGGTGGAAGTAATGGGGATGGGAGGAAAATGAGTCCATTTAAGGCCAACACTTACAATATACTGCACTACTGACTGGACTGTAATGCAGGTTCATATGATCATTATGGGGTTTCTGCCTGGCAGAAATAACAGAGAAGCAAACATGGCAGAATGTACAGGCCTAATAGCCCTGCGTGGTGAAAAGAATACACGCCAGGAGGGCAGTCAGATCTGCCTTTCTCATAAAGGCTGTCTCTTCTCCTCCATTTTGCCCACACAGTGAAGTACACCTGCCCTTCCTGATTCCGGAAAACATGCACAAATTCTTTTGAAGGTCATCACAGCTGGGCAGTTCTTGTTGTAAAGCCTAGTGTATGCAAGAGAAACTTTGATGCTTGCTGCTTTGTTCACTTCTTTGGCAGGTTGTTTTAGTTCATGCGGGTGTGACTTCTCTCATTGCACACATCCGAGTCGGGAAAATGCAAGCTGCTCTGGAAGCAAAAACCACAGTCCTTCCTGCAGTAGGTATGATATAAAATGAAAATGTGAGGGAATTGCTTACTGACTGCAAATCTGAATGCTTTTATTATTCGTGTGTGGTAACCAAGAGCAAAAGTACCTCCTACTGCAACTTAGCATTGAAAATACACAAATGTCTTTCTGAAATTCTTCTTCACATAATACTGAACATCCAAAAAAGTGTTTGAGCTTCTAACATGTATTAATCTAGAACAGCAGAAAACCAGTCTTGTCAAATAAGTAAGGTGATGATCAAATAGCATGATCAATGGCTTCAGGTACTACAAGGCTTGTCTGCAGTTCATGGGGATGTGAGAATATTCTTCTAAAAAATGTTCTGAGAATCTGGACACTCTTCATCTGAAGAGGAGCAGACAAGCCTTAAGCAAATTGGATTGGTAGAAATCCGTATTGGTTCTCTTTTTCACATAAAAATAAAATTACTCCCAAAGGCATCAGTCTTTCATTAACTTTAGTATAGCTGTATGAAGGGAAGAAGAAATAACTGTAGCAATTCTCTTAGCATTGTAAAATGTAAAAATTGGACTTTGTTTAATAAATTAAACACACGACCTGAAGAAAAATATTGGTTAAGATAGGAATGTCATCACAGTACTTGTCAGCTACTCTTCTGGAAATCTGAGAATATATTTCCCAGTGTTATGGAAAAATAAAAAGGACTGAAGCAACTCCAGTGTGAATGGAAGTATTTAGCTATAGAATTTTCTATCCATTTCAAGGCAACAGTAGCTGAGTTTTCCAGGAAACTTACACTTTATCAGAAAAGAAATGATAAAAATGCAGCTCCCCTCAGACAGAAAGTGACTTCTGTTATTATCCTGGCATTATACTGGAATTAATGGGGCTGAGACAGAATTATTACTGAGCAGTGGATTTTGTTTTGTTAAGGCTTTTTTTTTTTTTTAAAAAGTACATAGTGACATTATTACATTGAGCTCATCTCACAAGGCTGAAGTACAGCATGATATTAGTTTAGTCAGAGAGGTAAAATTGAAAGACCATTCAGGACATGGGGGAAGGAGTTTTGTCCTTCAGGGCTTCTGTTTTACATCCCATCAGATGCTGTGGATGATTTATATAAGATCTTGGAGTAAAAGAAATCCCTGTAAGATTTCTTTCTGCAGTTCCCAGTGTATTCTGCTGCTGAATAAGGGTCACTGGCTTCTGGGGATCACAAGAGCTGGATTAAGTATAAAAAATAAAAAAGGAAATGCCTGCCTTGAAGAACTTTGTGTTTCAGAGAAAAGCTCCATATGAACAATGAAAAACACAGTAGTAGTGATGAAGTGTTTTATACACAAAATATGTCAAAGCCTCTGATGTAATTAACATTTAATCTGATCAAAGAGATCCTGCATCACTTCAGAAATTCAGATTGCTCTTTCAGTTGCTGAGATGATATCTCTGAATTCTTCAAAAACTATTATTTCTGGCACTCTGAGGTTTCCTAGCTCAAGAACCATGTGTTTAGATCAGGATACTACCTCATAAATGGATAAAACTGCCTTAAAATATTCTGATACATGTTTCCTTTTTTAATCAGTCTGTGGAGATGGCTTTTGTGAGGAAGAGGAAGGCTGTTCTATCTGTCCAGCAGACTGTGGGGAATGCCCACTTTCTGCTGATGCCAGGATAGCAGTTGCCTTACCAATATGTTTAGTCTGCACTGGCTTCATTTTGACAGTCATGGTAAGTATCCTTTCTCTCCTCTTCTATTTTTCTCTTGCTTCCATGATTTTATTGGATAGAGTGGAGCTCTCTCTTAGTAGAAGGATAGAACTTCTTCATCCAGAACCTCTGTGCTGTGAAAGAAAGGAGAAAGAAAGGGAAAAAATTATTAAGGCTTCTTTGTAAGAGAAGTCTCATTGTGTTAGAATTTTCATTCTGTAGAGAGAAGATTACAGCGGGGTGGATATATCATTGTAAAGGAGGAAGAGGTTTTTCAAAATGGGAAGTAGGGGATCCCAGGAAAGCAAGGGTACCTTTCACTCAGAATAAAACTCTGTTACGAAATTAACTGCTTAAAAATCCTATGGAGGCCAGAACTCTAAAACTATTAAAAAACAATTTAGGTAAATTCATTAGGGGACTAGATCCTTCAGGGGTCATTAAATCTCAGAGTCCAAATACAACTTGTAATGCAAAACATTCAGCTTGAGATATTCTCAAAAGAAATCATGGGAAGAGAATCTTTTTTTTTTTCTGTTTTGGTTGACTGGGTTTTTTTAATAGGTTCATTTTCTTAGTGTAGCTGAACCAGCTTGGTTCAGTTCAAAGGGATTAATTTTGCATAGTAGTTATCAATTATTATAACAGACTCATGAAGGAAAAGCAAAAAGGGAATGAGGAGTGTATGAGTAATCGAGAAGCAGTTTTGTGTGTCTTTGAATAAAAAAGTCTATATAAATAGGAGACAGCATGGTATTATGGCTTATTACTTCACAGTGCTTCTGGGAAAGATGATCTATAACCTTTATGTGTCTGCATCTTGGAAAAAAATACATTTATGATTTTCTTAACAAAGATTTAACAGGTGATTATGGCAGTTTTAGAGTCATTATAGTGATTATGTACCTGTAGATAATTTGTTTGGAGCTTGGCCCATAAGTCCTGTAAAACAATAAGCTACTCTTTCCTCAGGAATTCCTTCTCTTTCTATCTTGTGCTGCAGTTGCAGTAGGCAACTACACTGAGAGGGAGTGAGCAGGAGAAGGCTGATGGTCCACAAACTGAGGTACTAAGGGATGCCTGAATCACAATTAGATTTTTTTCTCTATTCTGTGCCTCACTCTGTGGCTTTGTGAGTTAGGAACACAAGCAATGTTGAGAACTATTTGAGTATTTATAGTTCACAAAAAAGTTGTGACAATGAGTTTATGGTAACTGTCCTGTGAAATCATATGATCTGACAGAAATGTGTAATTGGACAGATGAGAAATTCAAAAGGTTTTAAATAACAGGCATTTGCATTTTAGAAAGAGCAATCCAGTTTCTTGGCCTTACATAGGCTTCTTTAAATGTCTGGTAGCAAAATTTAGCTATTATTTCTGCTATTTTTCTGCAGGTTTTGAGTTTATATTTTTTCTTCTTACATTTCTGTACACATTTTCCTATATGTATAATGATATGGGAATGATGTAGTGATAACTTCTTCAATAACAGCAACTTTTTTTAAAAAAACTTTTATTGGTTTTATTGTAGCAAGTTAGGAAAGATTATTTTATCCAGTTTGGTTACTGATAAAATTTAAAAAGAACCATCTGGAAACTAATGCCTTCTTTAATCATTCAAGTAGAAGAAAGGATTCGTTTGATATCAAGTTTGATATTCGTTTGATATCAAGTGTCTATAGCAAGCCTGATAGTCACTTCCTGATAATAAGTCTTTGTACAGTCATACCTCTACAAGATAAAAGTAGGTTTCTTTCCTCAAAAACCTTTTGAAATAAATGGGATGAAATAATTTGATTTAATGGGCTCTATATTTGCCACGAATTTCTCCCAATTATGTCGATACAATTTTCACATCATGTTCCTTGTGTATGAACTTGTCACCTGTTTCAGAGAAAACATGCATCATTCCTAGTATAATTCCAGTCTCTAGGAAATGCTATAATGATGGTAAAATGCTGCTTTGATTTGACATTTAAGCATTGACTGCAGCCATTAAAACTGTATAATTTAAACTAGTGCTCATTTGAAATCATGTATTTATACTTTGTATATTAGTTTTTCATGTCAACTCTACAAAAAATCAGCTATTAGATCAATGCCTTCTTCACTGATGCTTCAAGTAGCCAGAGATTCCCTACCTAATACTCTTTATGCTAGAGTACTTGATATAATATGGCCTAATTTGTAGACTGGGGGCTTGGAGTTGGGATGTATTGTGTTCTTGTCATACACTTACATAGCATAACACATGTTCATGACATGAGGGGATGTGAACCACTCATTTGATGTCCAGGCTGAAATACAAATGCATAAACATTAATAATAATGGAGAGTTTATAGCCAATGCAAAATATGACATGTAATTACTTTTAGAATATAGACTGTACAGTGCTTAATATATTTATTATGTGCTGTTTTCTTCCAAGCCTCTTATTAATACATTTGGTTCAAACGTTATTCATAAGATGTATGTTGAATGTTTAAATATCAGATTTGGTTTGGATACTTATACACTTTCATATTTGATAAGAATAATCTCTGGTTTAATTTCTTCAAAGGCATTGGGGCTACATTAGGAATGAATTTGATTTATTTTTGTAGTGGTTTCAATATCAGAAACAAAAGATGCTTTGGGATGAAAGTTGGATTATAGATTTCACCTGCATCAAACAAGGTTAGTAACTTGTCATTTTGATACTGTGATCAGTTTCTTTAATAATTTTGAGAAATAATCTCCATTATAAGTAGATTTTTACATTTCAAGGGTCTTACAAAAAGTGAACCAATCTGTGAAAGACATATCCAATGTTTCATCCCTGTTACCTCTGTGAACTGGTCACTGATGTTTCTTTCTTGAAGCTTCAGATGTCAAAGTTATTTTAAATAGTTTCCTTCTTTTTATTTACATTGATTTGTCAATTGAAAAAAAAACAGATGCCAAAATAAACAGACAACTTCTGAACTTGGACAAAATAAATTACAATTATTTCAGTGAGTGTATCATTCTGTATAATTGGTCTCTGACTAAGTTGCCCCTGAATTGCACAAATATATTATGATATAACATGATCATAATTTCTCTCAGTGTATGCTATCTGTGACAGACTTCCTGCAAAAAGTAATTCATTGTGGCCAATGGGTTTTTTACTATTTTATCTTCTGACTACAAGTCATGATTTAATTAGTTCTAATTAAATAAATTAAGAATAAATTCAGATCTTATTATATGCTTTACTGTGCTACGCTTAAAATAGGCGTAGATTATTTACTTTGCTGTTTCATGATTTGGCATTCAGAAGGAAAACAGTACCTAGATCTTCAGAAAGGGTAAATCTGTAGAAATCTGCTGAAGTTTGTAGGCCTGTGCTGATGCACACTCTCTCACTGTGTGTGTCTGTGAGGAACTGCTAAGCAGATGTCTGCTTTATCTGTGTTATGTTATTGTGTTGCTAGTGTCAAGATGTTCTTGTGATAATATATAGTAGGGATACTTTCAGCCTTAATTTTTTTATAGCTTTGATATGATATTCTTTTTGCTGTAATAAGAAATTTTGGCTTAGGAATTAATTTGATTACATAAATCAAAATGAATTTAAATCCAGATTTGTGAATACAGAAATGGAGGAAAGTGTCTTTCAATATAGCAAATGTAAGAAGACCAAATTTTCAGCTAATAGTGAACCAGAAAATGTCATAAAGATCACACATGAGGAGAAACATTGGAAAGAGACTCAGAGAAACTAGAAGCATGACCAAAAAATAACACATTAAAAATTAGTTTGAAAAATCAAAGAAGAAAGACAAGCTTTCTTGGAGAGAAGACTGCGAATCAACAATATTGTTTAAGACCTAGGAGTGATAATTAACAACTTAATGGGGACTGATAACATTATGAGATTTAGTAACAGCCAGTACGTCTTCTCTGGATAAAGCTGTTCAGAGCTACCCACTGTAGCCTGAAATGCACAGTTATCTAAATGGAAACAGATCATCAGTGTTCTACCCAGGGTATGTAGCCTGTAAAATGAAAAATTAGCCTTATTTTTTCAAGATAACTTCTCTTTTTTTTTGCTTTGCACCACATATAGAGATATAGATGTACACTCTTAAATACACACTCTTATTCTCAAAGCTGTCTCAGGGATTTCTAATATATTTCTGGGTGGAATGCTGTAGAAAGACTTAAAATGTCAATGCAATTTTGACCTGCATATGGATAATACTGTGGTGTGGGAACATGGCAGTTCTAATCCAAGCTGAGATGCTGAACTTTCTCAGCAGCATTTTATTGGATACTTCTACCAGACTTGAGAGCTCTCAGCATTTCTGAGACTAATTGGCTAAATCTGGATTTTAATTGGACATGGTTAAACAATATGTAATTATTAAATTTGTTTTGAAGTATCTTTGTCACCCTGAGTTGGTCAACAGAGATTAAAAAACATACATCGAGATCACTGTGTATTTTTTTCATCTTTCTGCATTGTTGCTCTTCTCTGACTTCAGTCTGGTGTCAGAATCACTTCCCACATTCTTGTCCTTTACAGTCTTCTAGGAGCTCCAAATAGACTTGTTAAAGTATAGCACAGGGCTTGCTCTCCTTCCCTGGGTTCTGTCCTCAGCATCTATGTAGCAGCAAGGGCTAATCATGTCAGGAGTAGAGAAGTAAAAATTGCATCAGATCCTGAAGATTAGTGAGAAAGATCTCTGGCAATGAATCATCTTTGGAACTTTTTTACTTTTTATGTAGCAGTCACATCCCAGGCAATGGTTTTCTGTCTTAAGTGTTAACAAGAGCAGCTGAGATGTAAAGATTTGGAGAATTCCCTTTATTTGTTTGCCTCTGGAGTCTCTGCCTGTGCAATAATAGGCACCTTCAGGTGATTTTTCTCATCCCACATCCCGTTTAGATCATGTCATGTGGACAGTAACAGGAAGCATGATGAGTGCTCCCCCAGCACCCAGTGTCTCCAACGTCAGCTGTATCACTGCTCTGAGCTCCTGCACAGCAGCTGCCAACATGTCCAGGAAACAATACTTCACCCAGACTGGAAGATAGTAAGTCAATGTATTACTATTTTACTTCAGTGCCTACTATATTACAATTCCACCTTGAATTTCTGGTTCTTGCCACTTTACTGTTGAATAGGCAGTAAAAAAGCTTCAATTTTTCTTGTTAGGCCAAATCTGGTAAGTTAAGATCATCATCTGACTTCCACACCAAATATTGGCTGTGGAGTATTTTATATGCCAGGCTTCTGGTTTGTCTTTCGTTTCTCCTTTTCTCTTAGGGACTACAGTCTGCTAAAGAATGGTCCTTGCTGTTCAAACATATTTGGAACCAAGGTTTTTGTGAAGCCCTTTTTCTAAAATGCAGGCAGAGCACAGCTAGGTTCTCTACACTAAAGAGTGGCACCCTTTACAGCAGCATGTTAGAAATCTTGTCCTTAAACCAGCTAATGTGACTGAATGTTCAGAACATTTCACCTCTAGATCAAATTATAAGGGTGCACATCTATGTAGACAGATGGCATAGGCATATCTTGCTATCCAGAAAGCAATTTTCCCCATAAAAGTAGTATAAATAAGGGGTAGGAGGGGAACACATGCAAAGATGGAAGCAATACCTACCATAGGAACACGTAGGGTAAGATCTGTGCTTTGCAGGAAAAAGAAGCTTACTTAGGATCATTGGCAGGGGAAACAGCTGCTTTTTCAGCATAGATTGTGGAAAATCACAGCCACTTCACTGATGTAACACTGTGATGTAGCACTGATCTTTTATATTAGGCTTTTTGCTTCTTCTTTCTGAAAGGTGACATTTTCATCATCATCGTCATTATCATCTTCCTCAGATGCCTCATGGTTAAAAATATTCAGCAAGGGTGAAAAATGTAAGAATGGGGCATTCAGTCTCATTGGCAAAGCACCTACAGCTACTACACCACAGACCCCATACTCTGTGTTTATATGGTGGGTATCACTTAAATTCCTGCAGGTATCTCCATTGGATTCCTTTAACAAGGAAAATTGCTTTGTTGTCTATCAAACTCAGCTGCTTCATTGCTGAGAATGCTTAGTCCCATGAGAGCAGAAGTATGTGAAATGTCAGTGAGGGATCTACAGAATGGTAGCCAGAAGTCATGGATAAGGAGGGATGTGGCTAAATGTGTTTCTCTCTCTCTGACACTTCCTTTGCTGCTACTCCATCACTGAACTGCCTCAACTGACCTTAACGCTCACAATCCAAATGTTGTTCACAGATCAAGATTGCTTGAATGCAATCACTAATTCTTCCTTTGTCAGGAGAAACAGGGAAATCTGAATCTATGTCAGCTGTCATAGATTCAGATTTACAACCACATATGGAAATGCTTAAATTCTCTGCCTCATCTCTAATTGTATGAAACTGTTCCACTCTAGAAAGTATATCTTGTCCATTTTTGTAGTATTGCTGGCTTAGGAATTTGGTCTAAAACTCTATGAATAGCATTTCATTCTGTTTCAGTGATGGTAGAACAGTGGCCATAAAGAAAATAATGAAGAAAGCATTCACATTGTCTAAATCCATACGTAAAGAAGTAAAGCAAGTGAGGTAAGAAGTGAAATCTGAAAAGTGTTATTCCTTTTTTGACTGGTTCTTTCAGGTTTAAAATGTGACCATAAATTCATATTCCTCTTTCTTTCAAATTTTGGTTTAACACCAGATCAAAATCTCCTTATTCCTGTCTTACTTTTTTCTCTACATTGTAAGACAAGGCACTTTCCATCTACCGTATAAAAAGCAGGAGGCACATTCATCAAAATTGTCATTATGCTGTGATTTCTGTTGAATTTCACAGGGAACTTGACCATCCCAATCTCTGCAAATTCATTGGAGGTTGTATAGAAGTCCCAAATGTTGCCATTGTCACGGAGTACTGCCCCAAGGGAAGCCTGAGTGATGTGCTCTTCAATGAAGACATTCCTTTGAACTGGGGTTTCAGGTAGGAAACAAAGTTTTGAGAAGATGAATGAGGCATACTGTGATATATGCTGCTTAGGGAAAGATGTTAAATTTTAGATGATGTTCTTGGAGAGAGAGGCCCGTACTGTGATATGGAGAGAATGAAGAAGCAAGCAAGCAAGCAAATTCAAATATTCAGTCCAACTTGTCTTCCATTTTTTTTGATAAATCATATGTTTAGTGCTGATCATGCTAAGGCAAAGACTTTTCAACTCTTGCCTAGAGAGACCTGCAGAAACTGCTCTAAAACCTTTTTTCCCGTGTAACTTAATTTTGTTCCCAAATATCTTGAGCATCCCTATTTAACTAAAGATAACTGCACCTTTGTTTATGAAGACATATTGATTACCTGGTTAGCATATTTACAAATGCTTTATTATACCTACCAATAGAGAGAATGAGCTCATACTGTTGATGAAACTTCCACAAAGGCAATGACATTGTTTTTTGAAATTGATCTTCTTGTCACACCCTTTCTGCTTCTGCTTTATGTTTGCCTTCAGCAAAGAAAAAGATTTTGAGGAAAGAAAACTTCCAAACAAAGTGAGGAAGTTAATAAAATTGTTTCTCTTGTAAACATTTGAAAATGCTCCCAAGGATACAAAAGTACTGGCAATTTCTAGAAGACACTCAGCTGTCTTAATAGAGGCTAAAGGCCTGCAGGCTCACACAAATGAGTGGGAGTTAAGGGCTTTCAGCCACCCACCTTAAATATTTTGGAAAATTGAGCATGGGAACACAAATCGAAAGCTATAAGGTGTGTTTCTGTAAAATTCAGTAGGCTTTGGAGCCACTCTTGACTGAAAGTTTAGTGGAAATATCAGCTTACTGACTTTTATCTTTCAGGTTTTCTTTTGCTACTGATATTGCACAAGGAATGGCTCATCTTCACCGCCACAAAATGTATCATGGACGGTTGAAGTCTAATAACTGTGTGATAGATGACCGGTGGGTTTGCAAAATTGCAGGTAAAAAGTAGATAAGAAAAAAATTTCAAAACTGTCTGCTATCCCACTAATGTGTATAGATTTCACACTCAACACTCTTTCCAAGTGCCTTCATGCTGATGTTTCATGTGGAATTGCCAACTGTACCAGACTTCAGTAGAAGTGGCCTGTACTGAAGTAAGTTTCATGTTATATTATCAAGTCAAGTTAATTAATATGTGTCACTGATGCATTCATCAGACTGCACAAAGGATGGAGTTTGTCAGTATCAGTCTGAGGAGAAACTCTGCCTCATTCTCAGTTTTGATACAGCGAGAAAACCTGAGCCATGGACAAAGATGTGTAGTAATGTTGACTGATTGGTAAACACAATGTAGTTTCATGGAGAAAAATAGACTCAACTCAGAGCTTTTCAGTCCTTTACACAAAACTGAATTGTATTCTCCCAGAGACAGAGCTACAGTTCTGGTCTGCTCCTGGTACAGGAAGACAGCCTGTGGAAGCAGGAATGCCACTGAAGAGTCTAGTTTAGTTTGCAGCTGCCAAGGCAAATTAAGGCAATGATCATCTCTTCTACTTTCTCTCCAAAGTTATCACACCCTCTCACCCATAGCCATCGTAAAGGAAGCAGCAACAGATTTGTTTTTTAATGGAATATCCTATGACTAAGGCTTCCACACAGGGCCAGGCCTGCTTTTCCAAGTTGTTCAGTATTCTAGTGCCTTCAGAACTGCCTGCTCTGCTTAAAGTCTGTTCTTGAGAAAAGCATAAAAAATAGACTTAGTTGGATTACATCAGCTACATCACCTTAGCACAGCTCGTCTCAGTTAAATAGGATCTCTGTGAAATCATTCAGAAGTTATATAGTTCCACTGTAGCAATTTAAAATTTTCATGGCTTATCTGGATGTGATAATATCAAACCAACATCACAAATAATGAATGTGGGAGCTATTTGAAAAATTACCTCCAACATAAAGAACTAATCTCTAAGACCATCTTATTTAGAGGTCACTCCAGATAAAAGGAGACATCTGCATCCAACCTTCCCATACACAGCAGAGTGCTGTTTACGTAAGAAAGAAAAATGAAGTCGGTTGTTTTTTTTTCCTTCTCACCGATTCTGAGTCATATGCTGAACATCCCTTCTATATTAGGCTAGAAATATAGATGGAAAGATGTTTCACATCTATGCCGCCTTTGTTCTGATGCTAGTGGTGTGCAAGTAACACCCACCATCTGCTTTTCAGTCGTTAGTCTGTCTAACTAGTAATTACTTTAGCAACCTGCCACCAGAGATAAGTATCAAGGGACAAGGTAGAACAAAAACCTGCATTTACAGGCTAACTCTTGCACTGAGGTGAGACTATTATCTGAATATAATTTGATAAAATCATAAAATAATTCTGATTGGAGGAGGTTACGTAGTTCAACTTCCCTGCTGTTTTGCAGTCCTACCTATATATTTGGTTTCCAGTCGCTATATTTGCAATTGTTTAGGGAGGCAAGACCACCAAAAACACACTATTTCTAGACTAACATGTGTATTTTAAATAGGGAAAACTAATTCCTTTAGACTAGTTATGTTACTGTCTACTATTGCAGGCGTTTCAGTGAAGTACCCACTGAATAGTTTGTTCCCTGTTTTCTTTCACGCTAGATTATGGTTTGCAGTCATACAGAAAAGAAGATTCTCCTGAGGGATCAAGCTCATGCCAGCAGCATTTGATACAGATTTACACAGCTCCTGAAATACATTCGCTTTCGGAGTTTGAACCCAATTCTATGACAGATGTCTACAGGTAGTTAAGTTTTCCTGATCTTGCACTTAGTAACCTCATCTTGAGTATGTTTAACTGACAATTAAGCTCAGTATAATTCTGTTGTCACTCCAAGTATATGTTTGATTGTAGTTTTTAGAAGATTGGTCCTGGAATACAAAATAGCACAGATAACATAGGATCTTCTCTTTCAAGGTAGATAACCAAATACTGCATTCACTGAATATACATGGAAAGTTTGCCAAATGAATTATAAGGAGTCACTATAGACTGGTAGATAAAAAGGCATAAAGATGTGTTACTGTCTATCCATCCATTTTTCCTGTTGCTGTTTCTTACGAGAAGGTGGATTATTTTCAATAATGGCAATACTTTAAAAGTTAGTAGAACCAATGTTCCAGGATGTCACAATAAACATATGCATCCATAATTTCATAATTAGTGTCTATACATTATTTGCTGCATATACACAGTGACATTTTTGGTTTACAGAGGAAAAAATAAAGGTCAGAAGAAGAATAGATGCACTAGTGAATAGCTTCATCCCCTTCCTTTTGAAAGCTTTTATAGAATAGCATTTTCCAATGGCTTATTTGGCTATCAAGTTTAGCCCTGCCAGTGGTGGATAGCTTCTACACAACCACTTTTCAGATAAGTGGGATTACAATTGTAAACAAGTGTATACATATTAAATGTGCTAGAACACTATTAATTTTAATCCATTCTGTCAGGTTACCTAAGCAAGAATTTGAGATCACAGTAGTATTTATGTCTATAGGCTTAAATACGTCCTGAGAATTTGCTTCAAAATGGTTCAGCTAAAGTAGTTTGAGATTGTGTTGGTATTTCTGGCTACCGTCATTCGTCCTGTGTCAGTCTGTACTTTTTCAATATGGAGTGGTGTTAGAAAGTACTGTACTCCAACTAAACAATAATTTTGGGGTTGTCTCATACATTCCAGTTTACCATTGCCACGAAAATGTTTCCTATCTGTTCTCACTTTGCTCCTGTTTGGAAAAGATATTGTTACTTGACTTTGCAGGCAACTTGGCCTCCTGAAACCATTTCTAACCAAGGGTTCCCCTTAAAGTAGTCTTAAGATCTGCTTTTCTCATGTCGTACATGACTACAATGAACTTTTGACAGACTCAATGAATCAATCTTGCTGTCAATCTGTGTATTTGCAAAATCCAGATCTACTCTTGTGGTACTGCACTTGATCCTTTCTTGGTAAAAAAAAAATAAAATAGTAAGAGATAAAATCAGAAGAGGGAGAAGATCAACATAAAGACAGTGAAGATAAAGATGTACCCTATATGATTAAAAAATCTTCTTATCCGGGCTATTTTTCAGAATTTGCCTTTTAACAAATTTTGTGTTTGATGATAGGAGCAGGGGTTAAGCTTTCCTGATAAATGTATGTGGGCTCACTCGCCAGCGAGCGGTGACCCAGTCTTGAAATCCTCAGTTTTTATCCGTGCAAAAATTCCATTAATATTTCTGAAGATAAGGTCCAAATAAAAAATTAGTAGAAACTGCAGGAGTGAGACTTGTAATTTACTGTACTCTTACAGATGAATCACTTGCTCTTGAATTTCTCTGGGGAAAGTGTTGGTCAGACGGGAAGGCTAAAATGGAAATGAGAACAGGAGCACGAAAGCAGCTCCTGATTTGAGCTGAAGAGGCTGTTACCACTCACAGTTTCTCCGAGATCAGCTCCCCTTGATTTCATTATGTGAATCTTAATGTCCACTATGTTAGGACTTTATTGAGCAGTGCTGAAAAAGCTGAATTGAATCAATACTGCTTTATCAGAGTTACTATCATCTAATTATTCTCCTCTAAAATCTGTTTTAGCTTTGTTGTCTCACCAGGTTTGATATTGCTTTCTACTACCAAATCACCCCAAAATTAACAGAAAAATCTCATCGGATTAATTTCTACAGTATTCAGCATAGTTTATATTTATTATTTTATTTGCCAGTGGTGGTCCACAAGTGGACTGAAAGACAGATATACATATACCATTATGCAACCAGAATGTCTTAGAGAACAGAGCAACCATCAGCAACACAACAGACTGCAAACCAATATTCTCCATAAAAGTAAATGTTACCAAGCACAGCTGCATGCAGGGGGTTAATTATTACACTGTTTCAATATATAAAGAGACGAGCATCTTTGTCAGGCCTGTTGGCTGGAGGAGCTGCTTGCTTCTGAGACATCACTGTTCTAAAAGGTCTCTAGTGGGTTCAGTGAGGAGGTTTAACACCCAGTTGTTAGTGTCTTTTTCCATTCTTCTTCCTTGATGAATATGTTTGACCTTGGTTCAACTGAGGAAGATGATGATGAGGAAAATATAATTCAGAAGGAACAAGCAGACATGTCTACTATAAAATATCTATTCTGGACACACTGTGTCATCCTTGACTTTATGGAGGTTTTTTAGACAGTGATCTGTGCTGAAAAGAAGCCAATCCTCCAACTGATGGTCACGATGAACCTACTCCTGCCCCTTGATTGGAGCACAAATCAGTCCTCTCTGTTTAACTGGATTATGTACACATCTCTGCACATATCACCTCTGGATTCCATTAATTCTTCCAGAGAAAATTGCTTTGCTATCCGTCAAATTCAAACTCTTTATCTCTGGGCTTGATAACTGTGAGAGGATAATGCTATGAAACGTTTGGTAACAGATTTCTGAAAACACAGAGCAGTACACACAGCAGCACTTTTGCCATCCTTCCTTTTGAGATACTGGGCTTTCAGTCATACAACAGGGAAGAATAAGAAATCATGGAAAGAAGAAATCACTGACTCCATTGACTGTTATTTCATTAAGATTTTGCTTTGTTTTTATTCTGCAGTTATGCTATTATTTTACTAGAAATTGCCACAAGAAGTGACCCTATGCCAGTAAGTAAAGATGAACTACCTGTGAAATTTGCATGACTGCTTTGATTCTGTTTCTGCTGAAGACATAAACCAAACTTTGAGTAACTGCACCTTTGAGTTACTTTTTGAGTACACATTTTCCTTGTGATTTTCTCGGTGTTAGTTCAGTTCCCATGGAACATTGCAATCAGAGCTTCCTCATACACCTACCTCTCTTCCCTTTCAGACCCTTGAAGAAGAGCAGATGATAAAAATAATGTGGCTCCAAACCTGATTTTTGATTAGTTCTGTGAGGCTTAATGGTGGCAGGGAGGGATGTAGAGGGAACATATGTCCTAATATCTTCCTTTTTATTCTATTCTTCCTTTTCCTGCCATGCAGGAGCCCTTTTAGTGGAATCTTGAGTGCTAGAAAGGCAAATGAGCTTCTCTCCATAAGGAAAATCTCTATTTTGCATGTGTCTTGTGATCAGTGCTAAATGGCAAATACACAAAAAAATGCACCTTATAATTGAAACCAGATGGTCTGGATATGTAACCATGTTGTCTCTGAAATAATTTGCTTAACAAGAATTGTAACAATGAAGTCTTGAAAACTACCATTCTTCCAATCATGACAGTTTGTGATAGAGCAATGTAGGCCTTATGATTTTTAAATGTTTCCCAATATCTTGCCAGGTATTCAATTGTTTATCTCATATAAACACTGAGATTAAAACCTTTCAGCCATGAAAAAGCTTTTAGAAAAAGTGACCCAGTTTAGACTAGTTATATGCTTTTTTATCCTTTTTATTTTCTTTCTTGCACCCTTATGTAAAGAAGCAGAGCAGGAAGTGATAAGGAAAGATGTTATATAAGTAATGATGGTAATACTAATATAATTTCAATGGCTGGCATGAAAACCACGCCACTAATTTCAACATTGTTTAATCCCCTTTACTCTAGAAAGATAGTATGCACTCAGCTGAATATTTTTGGTGCCCACCTTTGTCAGAATTAATTTCAGGAAAGGCTGAGAATTCTTGCCCATGTCCCACAGATTACATAGAGGTAAGTAAAATATAATATTGTGTACAAAGATTCTTTACTGAAGTGAATTTATGACATGTCCCAGAATTTTTATGGCAGTATGTAAATAAACCAGAAATCAAGAAGTACTCCTCAAATAAGGAACAATGAAATTATTTAATATCCTTAATTAAAAAAAAAAGTCATTGCGATAATGAAACATTCAGTTCTCTCCAGTTGAGGGTGTAATAGGTTATGGTTTTAATATGCAATCATTGATTTTTGTGCATTTTCATTTTATTATAAAGTGTTGAATTCCATACATATTTTATGTCAGTAATATCCATTTAGCTTACTGGCAGAGGGCTTTCAAATAATGAGGTTTCTGCCTCAGGCAAAGTATCAGTTTGGTTTGATTCTCATGCAACAGATCTGTGTGTTCGGTAGCCCCAAACTGCCTGATAAAGTACACCTCCCCCCTACCTCCATTTACTTAAATTAGAACAAGATTATGGTGTCCTTACTTCAGTTTAAGTGCAGTATAACTGACTTTGATGGTTTGTAGCTATCTAAATGTAACAAACTTCTCATTAGCAGAACTGGATTTTAGCCGGGAGTTAACATTATTAAAAGAGTAGTTGAGTTTTTAATCTTTTGTGAGTTTTGTGTACAGAGAAGTCCTCTGAAAACTGTATGAGTTCACCAGCATAACACTATCTTAAAACATAAGACAAGAGCTTAAGTACTGTTCAGCAGAAGAAATGTGCGTATCTAATTCATGATTTCCCACAGGAGCATTTTTATGAACTAACATCCTTTGTTCAGCAAAAACCTGTAGAATTCCACAGACCTCAGTATATCTCTGACACTTTTCCTCAGCTGCAGATGACCGGTTTGTACAAAAAAATAATAGTATTAATTTAAAAACTGCCTGCACTTGGAATGATAAAAGGCTGTTTGCTTTTGTCACTCTTTTTTCCTTCTGCAGTTAATCAGAAGATGCAGAAAAAATAATCCATCCCAAAGGCCTACATTTGAACAAATCAAGAAAATGTTGTACAAGATGAATCCTAATAAAGTTAGCCCTGTTGACATGATGATGACTCTGGTAACTTTAGTTTTTTATTCCAATCCAAGTTAGTCTGCTCACTTGCAATCACTTTCACCTGTATCCTTCAGGTTTGTTTTTTGATCTCATACCCCTTGTTTGGTGAGAAAACCCAGTTATTTGTTCGTCTCTGGTCGGCTAATTGTAGCAGTAGTTCTGCTTGAGACACAGCTTTCCTTCTCGTTCAATTTCTGTCGTTTTTCTTAACTTTCTCAACTTCTTTGGGGCTGAACACTTTCTTCAGTCAAATGTTGTTTGGTGTTTAATGTGCTTACAGGATACTATATTCCCCTTTTCCCATGACTCAGTGGTCTTACAGCACCAGGGATATAGAATCCTGGCATGCCACAAAGAGCATGTTTACAGATGCATTTTGAGCAGAGTATCTCAAGGCCATGAGCAGAGAAGGGAGATTCCTGTTCCCACAGCCTATTACCCCACACAGAAGAAGGATATAAGAAAGCAAAATGCAGACTAGCACAGCAGGATAGTTTACAAAACAACATAGTGAGCTTTTGATGAAAGTCTGAGACTTAGATACCTTTTGTTTTGGTGAGATTTTAATCCATCTCTGCAGCTTGGTCTCTGCATTGGATTAGACCCCTAAAGTTTACAATAACTTTGAAAAGTCTCAAATCAGCTTCTGCTGTCAAGCAACAATCTCAAATCTAGATTCATAAATTTACCTAAGGGGAAACTTAGATCTTTGGATTTTGTAGAAAAATTTTAGGTGTCTTAGACCTGCACCTTTTCTTATCTCGGAGTGTTTTCCAAGCAGAATCATTCAAATGCTTAAATCATATCCAACTATGGATCTGTTTCAGCAAAAAGATTATTTTATGCAATTCTCTATGTTATTTAGATGGAGAAATACAACAAACATCTGGAGGTACTGGTTTCTGAGAGAACCCAGGATTTAATGCATGAAAAACAGAAGACTGATCGTCTATTGTATAGTAAGTTATAAATACTGGATATTCTTCTCAATAATAATTTTATTTCAGCTGTCTAATTACAAACAGAAACCCTTTGATAAGTCATTATTTAGTAGCAAGGAATGAGTATAATTGTTACTTTCAAAGTTGGAAAGATATTTACCTACTTTCTATACTTCTCCCCTAGAAACCAGTACACTCCTCTGAGAGGTATGACCCCAGAATCCATAGTGCCCTGACTTCGGATTTACATGGCAGTCCTGCTTAGTTTTAAATGTTGGGGAATTGCAGTTGGTTACTTTTGATTGTAGTGTATCCTCTGGCATTATGCAAGAAAAGAGGTATAGAGGAACAGGAATACACATATGAGAGAGAAAAAAAATTGTGAAGGTGCAAGACAGGAGAAATAAAGACAATTAAAAGAACAAAACAGAGAAGTGATAGTAAACAAACCTAACACAGGTAGAAAGCACTAGCAAAGAGTTGTCATGGAAGGAATTAGTAAAATCCCAAGTCATACTATTAAAATCTATCCTTATACTTCCTTGGAATGTATAGATTTGGGTTTTTTTTTTGGAACTAAAAGTTATGGGCCATCAGAAATATCTGGACATGTTATCAATGAGATTACTGTGAATTCTCACATTACAGCAGAGCAGATTTTGATGCCAAACTGTGTTTCAATCTTTGTAATATTTCATGTTTCTAATCATTGCTTTTCACTTTTAAACAAGCATGTTTAATGTGTGATTTTACCATGTCAAAAAAGTAACAATGCACTACTTTCTACAACAGGTATGTTGCCGAAACAAGTAGCAGATGATCTCAGGCAGGGGAAACCTGCACAAGCCCAAAGTTACTCGAGTGCCACCATCTTTTTCAGGTAAACAAAAGTGAAAGATAAGACTAGAAATGACTCCTACTGAAGAAACTTCTAGGCTTCTAGTGGAGGTGAAGCTCCTAACCAAGTACAGAATTTCTATCTAAGCTGCCATCTATTGTACCAGCTGCCTCTCCAAAAGAGTGTTTTCCAAAATTCTCACACCATATCAATTTTTAATTATAAATACTTAAATAAGCAATGAGATTACTGTGGAGCTCTAACGTACAGCAGAACATTGCTTTACATGTGTTACTCATGCATGAATGTATATTTGATAACGTAGGCCTAAGTAAAGACTCCAGCACTTAGCTGTGTAAAGAAAACTTTTCTGTCCTTGCAGTCCACATGGATTTACAGTTTTAAATTTTTATATGTGCATGAAGCAACATATAAACAGCATGCCTTCACTTGTCACAAATGAACAGATATCAAATTTCCTTTTTTCATTTTTACATAACCTAAATTGAAGACTACTTAATCTGTTGCAGATTAAAGTCTATCTGTAAAAACGGTTTATGGTATCGGTAAGCAAAAAGACTTAGGTCAGTCTGTCCTTTTTGAATGGAAGGAGTCTGCTGCCAATTTAAATAAATTAATAAAAAACTATTCCATAAGATCCTTAGCAAAGGAAATGCTGAAAAAGAGAAGTTTGACACAGTTCCAATGAGAAATTATGACTGTGTGTTTAGGTTTACCAATCTGCAATGTTTAAGATGGTGGATGAGTGTGTTCTTTCTGTTGTGTTTTAACAGCGACATTGTTGGCTTCACTCAGCTGTCCAGCAGCAGCACACCGTACCAAGTGGTAGATCTCTTGAACAAGCTTTATACCACTTTTGATGAAATCATAGATAACTATGATGTCTATAAGGTGGAGACAATAGGAGATGCCTGTAAGTTCCTTGAGCTCTGGACAGTGGTGGGGCTTATGGGGCATCCAGGCAGAGACTAATTTGATGACAAGGAAGAACAGATGAAGGAGATTTGGAAAGCTTGTTACCAGTGAGAAGACCACATAAAGCAATAAGGAGATAAGTCCTAACTACCAGAGCCCCTGAAAACTTAAGGAACATTTTCCTGCATAACTTAGATCATTTGTACAACTGATGACTGTTGCAGACAGGAAAAATGAATTGAGTTAAATACCACTGATGTTTATTTAGTTCCTATGACCTGTAAGGTCTGACTTTAAACCTTAGCAGCAGATTAATCAAACTGGCAACTTCTATATCACAGGAACACAACTGAAAAATTTACCTTCTATATGGGATCCTAGATGTCTTTCCATAAACTTTATTATCTCTGTCTTTTTTTTTGCAAAGACCATGAAAATCTTCTCTCTCTAATACTCTGTAGGGGCTTGACTGTCTCTTCTCTTTGGGTTTTTAGGAAAATGGCTTTATATTTGCTACCCTGGGAATCTGCTGGAGACTGATTACCATTAAAACTCAGTTCCATCAAAACCCTAAGGGAATCTAACAGAACTTTTGGATGAGACAGAAAGGAAGTCCTGTAAGAGATTTGGAAAAAAAAATCCCCACTCTTTTTTTCCTGTGCCATAGTTCAGCATATTCTCAAGCATAAAATGCCTGAACAAATGTACCTGGGAGATCCTGAAGAGACCTGTTTCTTGTCCTACAAAGTCATAGAATCAAAGAATCATAGAATCATAAAATATCATGAGTTGGAAGGAACTCACAAGGGTCATTGAGGCAACTCCTGATGCTGCACAGGACAGCCCCAAGAATCATACCATGTGCCTGAGAGTGCTGTCAAAACCCTTCCTGAACTCTGTTGGGCTTGCTGCTGTGACCACTTCCCTGGGGAACCAGTAACCAATCACCCTCTCTCTGGATGATGAACTTTTTCCTAATATCCAGCCTAAACCTTCCCTGACACAACTTCAGGCCATTCCCTCAGGTCTTGTCACTGGTCACCACAAAGAAGAGATCAGTGCCTGCCTCTCTTCTTCCCCTCATGAGGATGTTGTAACTGCAATGAGGTCTTCCCTCAGCCTCCTCCTCTCCAGGCTGAACGGACCAAGTGACCTCAGCCTCTCCTCATACGGCTTCCCCTCAAGGCCCTTCACATCTCTGTTGCCCTCCTTTGGACACTCTCCAATAGCTTAATGACTTTCTTATATTGTGGCACCCAAAACTGCACACAATATCCAAGGTGAGGCTGCCCCAGTGCAGAGCAGAGCGGGACAATCCCCTCCCTTGACTGGCTGGCAATGCTCTGCCTGATGCCCCCCAGGACATGGTTGTCCCTCCTGGCTGCCAGGGCACTGCTGATTCATGTTTGTAACATAAGTTACAGAGGTATAGCCAGAAATGCCAAGACAGTGGAAAGAATTCAAAAGTTTATTTAGAAGGCCAGAATATGAGAAACTTATAAATATCTCACAGTGCTTATTGCAGCACTGGCCCCAGGAAGAAAAAGTCAAACCTCCTGTTCGCTCCTGGGTTTATCATCGCTGGCCCCCTCGACTCTCTGCGGGCCACAAGGGCCCTGTAGCATTCCTGTAAATGTTATCTCTCTCCTCTCGTATCTCAGAGAGAGAGGCTGAGAACTTCTCTTCCTATGAAGAGAGGGGAAGAAAATGTTGAAACTGCCTTTGAGAAAGAGTTACCTTTTAGGCAGAAAGCCTTCCTAAGCAAAACCTCTGTCTCCTCATAACAAAATCTTCCAGAAAAAAGAGGGTATTCTACCCTCACATGTTCATTTGTCATCAACCCCCAGACTTGCTTCCAGAGGGCTGCTCTCCACCATCTCATTCCCCAGTCTGTAGGAACACCCAAAGCTGCCCCACCCCAGCAGTAAAATCAGGCACTTGCTCTTGTTAAATGTCATACAGCTGGTAATTGCTCAGCCCTCTGATTTGCCAAGGTCTCTCTGCAGGGCCTCTCTGCCTTCGAGGCAATTTAGTATCATTGGCAAACTTACTTAGTATCCCTTTGAGTCCTAGATGCTGAAGAGCACAGGGCCTAAGACGGAGCCCTGCAAAACCCCACTAGCAACAGGTCTCCAGTGTGATGTCACCCCATTCACTATTATCCTCTGTGCTGGATCCATGAGCCAATTCCTCACTCACCACATGATGTGTTTACCCAGCTGTGTACTGGACATTTTATCCAGAAAGATCCTGTGAGAGACAGTATTGAAAGAGTTACTGAAATCCAAAACGATTACATCAACTGGCTTCCCTTACTCAACTAGATCGGTTGTCATAAAAGGAAATTAATTTTGATAAGCGGGACTTTCCTCTCGTGAAGCCATGTTGGCTGTAACTGATGACTGTGTTGTCTTTCAGGTATTTTTCAGTAACTCCCAGAATAATCTTCTCCATAATGTTATCAGGCATTGAAGTGAGACTGATGGGCCTGTGGTTTTCAGGGTCATCCTTCTTCTCCTTCTTGAAAATTTCGACAACATTTGACAGCTTCCAGTAAGCTGGGACATCTCTAGATTTCCAAGATCATTGAAAAGGCATTGAGAGAGGTTTCACAATGACTTCAGCCAGCTCTTTGAGTACTACTGGATGAATCCCATCAGGCCCCATAGGTGTACAGGGATCCAGCTGGAGCAGCAAATCCCATATAAGTTCAGGGTTCAGTGGGAGTTTATCATTCTCACAGTCATGGTCCTCCAGCTCAGCACTCTGGGACCCTCGGAGCTCATCATCGGTGTTCAAAGCATAGTGCAGGAAGCGTAGGCCATTGCCTCTTTTTATAATAGCTCCCCAAAAACAACAGGTACTGAACAGCCATATTCCCACAACCTGTTCCATTTCAAGCATTCTCAATGAAGGGATGAAGGGAAAAAGAAAGGGTTGGAGGGGATAAATCCTGTGTAAAACTGAGAAGGAAATACAACGTTTTTCAGAGCTAGGGTAATTACACGCAAGGGCAAGTTGCCCTTGCCTTTGTTTGTTTCTGGCTTTCTCTGCTTAGGAGGCACAACTGTGCCCTAGGATATGACAGAATTGGGCTTCTTTTTGTTTGTTTGTTTGTTCTTTTTGTTTAATTTGGGCAACACACTTTGGTAAATCTGTGTAATGCCAAACATTAACACAGTTGCATTGTTGTGTTAAGATATGGTGGTTTCAGGAGTACCCAAAGAGAATGGGATCCTTCACGCCGGTGAGATTGCAAGCATGGCTTTAGACCTCCTGGATGTCTGCAAGACTTTTAAGATCCCACACAAGCCCAACACCCTTCTAAAAATAAGAGCAGGAATCCATTCAGGTATGTTGAGAGGGCTGCAAAGGTTTCTTCCTCTGGCTTAACAAATACTTCTGTAGTGGCCATTTTATCTCCATTAGGAATTTCTTCATAACTTCATTAAGAAGCTAATTCCTTGATATGAGAGGGAATACATCATACAGGTCATCTCAACAGAATAAATTATTGGATACATGGAATATTTGTAACTCAATGCAGAATACAACTTTGGAAATATTCCATGGTCCCAGTGCCTTTGCTGATCCAAGTGAGAACTGCCCTTCTGTGTCTGTTGCTTGTCCTTTTCAGATGTTCTCTTCTCAAAACTGTGAGTTTTTTCTTGACTCATTGATCTAGCCTTTGCTCTCAGACTCCCAGCTCCCTGATCTAATCTGATGTGTGATTGCAACTGCTTCTTGTTAGATAGTCAGAGTTGGACCTATCCTGTGCAGCCCAGCACCTGCCAATTAAATGATCTCACCAAGAGATTATATCTTCTATTTTTTAAATCAGTTGAGGCTGACATGAAGGAACCAAAATTCTCATTTTCTGTCTTCAGCAGGAGCAGGTTGCTTCCTGTTCCTACCTTTCCATGTGATAATGAGTGTTACGTGTGCAACTCCTATTGACAGCATTCCTATCCCATTGCCCCTGAAAATATGTTGAAATGGGGTTCTGCAGATGTCTTAATTCATGCACAACATCTCCATCACATCACCACTTCCCCCACTGTTCTCCTTTGAGGCCTTTTTGCAATTCCCTCCATGGTTCTGGAATCTATGTGTAAGATAGATGTGTAACCCATGTAAAGATGATACCAACACTCAGTCTTTGACTGATTAATGAATGAGATATAAAGTAGTGTAGTAAGCAGCCATAAGGCTGTATGACTGATTATGTGATTTATAAATATGAAATGCTTTATTTTATTTTTCTTAACAGGGCCAGTCGTAGCTGGAGTTGTTGGAACCAAAATGCCACGGTACTGTTTGTTTGGAGACACTGTGAACACAGCTTCCAGAATGGAATCTACCAGTGAAGGTAATAAGGAAAAAACTGCAGGTGGGGTTTTGATCATCCTTACATGAGTTCTGAAAAAATGCTGTGCTGAGTTTTGAGTCCTGACCTATTCAAACAACTGCAAATCCTGTAAGAAGGTTCTTGATTTCTGGTTCCAATCTGCCTATGAGCAAATTATGACAGTGATATTCTCTACAACCATTTTTGTAACCAGATCCCCTTATTCCCCAAGTCTTAGAAAGGGATTTTTGTTGCTGTGAAATTCTCTATGGTAAAAAAAAAGTAAGAATACGATAAAATGAGAGGCTCGATGTTCCTATTTGTACCTGGCACCCTGCTGAATTTATAGCAAAAATACTTTCATAACTCCTCTCTTTTGCTGATAAGTTTCTCTAACGGAGAACACAAGCGGTGGCAGGACACATGGGAGCTGTGTCTGTCTAACTGGTATAGAAGATTATGTATATGTCTTCCAGCAAAGAGAATAGACAGAAATTTCTAGTGATTAAAGCGTGGAGATATTCTCACCTTCACTTCTTCCCAGGACATAATAGTTTAGTTTGCCTGCTTCATCTTTAGCCAGTATGAGCATTTGAACCTCACATTCTGATATACTTTAGCCCAATGAACAAGAATTGGGAAAAAAATAAGGAAAGAAAGGGATTCAAGGTCAAAGGACCTTGATGGCTTTTTTCCTTTCATTCATGAAATGAAGGTGAATAGTTTTATGGCTCACATTGCAGTGCATTGTAAATGTATGTGAACTAGGCAAATACAAGTTTTCAAGTTTAATTTCATGACAAAAAGTGATGCTTTCAATATCTATCAGGATCCACTAAAAACAAGGCAGAAAGGCAGTGGAGTGGTCCTACATGATGGTTTTGAAGATTATCTTTGGGATTTGAGAATTACGAAGGTCTATTCCTTCCCACTATTTTATATGTTTTTCCAAAGAAAATGCCAGCCTGAGTGCAACGCACATAATTTCATTTTCTTTCTACCAGTCTCCCAGATAACTCCTTTCTTTCTCCTCCTCCTTTCAGGCTCCTTGAATCATCTTCTCAGACCCGCCTTAAAACTAATGCCTTCAAAATCTACTTCCATCGTTCTTCATAGTTCATCATTCATTTTTTTCTGTATGTCAGTCTCTTTCTCATATGGTACATCAACACTGCAAACCTATGTACAAAGACAGAGCTTTTTATCTTTCAAGCCTTTATTTTATCTCCCTTTTTCTCTGGTCATGTACCTCTGAGGATCTCAAATTGCATTACCTTGTTTTCACCCTAAGTTGGTTGCTTTAAAATAGAATAATTATTTACTAGAAATGTACACAAAAAGTGCTATCACCTGGAATCTGAGTTCTAGTGGCTTGTTCTCAAGCAGGATGACAAGTTAAAATATTCTGTACCTACTGCAAAGAATATTTTTGAGATATATATCTATATATGTTGAAACACATATTTCCTGATCTACAGGGAGTGTTCTGAGACTTTAAAAAGAATTTAAACAAACAAACGAAAGTGGATATTATAAAACTGTTATTTTCTGATATAAGAACAATCACTAAGACAATCTTAGACAGTACTACCATCAATCTGGGATCTTTTTCAAACAAAGAAGCATAATGATTTACTCTCTGTCGCTGATTGTTACAGGCAAAAAACCCTCAAAATGAAATAAAAAAAACCAGTTTTCGTTTTTTTGTTTGTTTGTTTGGGTTTTTTTTTTCAATTTTTAAAATTTTGGCAAAATTTTACTTTCTGGCAAAAGTAGTATTTCTTCTATGTGTTGTCTTCTTTGGTCCTTTCCCATCATCTGCAGAGGGCAAGGGAGGTGAGGCTTACATGGAAGTAAAATCTCAACTAGGAAAAAATGACATTGTAAAAAAAGTTGTGGAATTATGGTAATATCATCCTGTCCGCCTGTCTTTATTAACAGGTTTGGAGTCAGAGCAAGGATAGCAGCTTCTCCAATGTTTAGACTTTGCTGAAAATTATATGTGCAAAGAAAGAGCTGGCTCTTTATTGACTAGGAGATAAAACTATATGCAGTTTTCTTCACCAGATTAAATGGATGCTCATCAGTAGCACGAGCCAGGCAGCTGCACAGAGTAGACAAATACTATTAGATGCAGAAAGTGAAGAGTAGTGTTTGTTGACAGCCACATGCTTTTTGTGAGATGCTCTCACAGACAGGCCGGGATACTGAAGCTTGTGTGTGAACATTTCAAATAACAGAGGAATGACAGCAGAGACATGAAAAAAAACAAGGGGAAGCTCACTAATGGGTCTTGAAATCTTTGGTACACATTGTGGGGTGGATCTGTCTTAGATGTTTAAATTGTTTGATAATATGACAACTATTTCTCTTTCCAGCTCTTAAAATACAGTGCAGTTCAAGTGTATACCAACTGTTGGAGCAGATTGGAGAGTATGTGTTAGTATGCCGTGGGAATTTACAAGTCAAGGTGTGTATGCAACATCTATGCTCAGCTTTTCAGAGAGGAGAGTGTGAAAGCACTCTGGAGTCCCTGAATTTTAACCCATGCAGTCCTTTATGTCTTGCAGTCCTTTATATCTCACAGTCCTTTAGTTAGACTAATTCCTGATCTAAAGAAAGCACGTTCAAGTATTAAACCAGAACCAATTAAATGGCTTGTTCATGGAACAACTCTGATAAGTCAGAGATGAAGGACTTAGCCAAGCTTGGAAGTCCTGCATGGCACATTCAAAAAAAAGGTCATTCAGAGGCATCACAAACCATCATGTGAGTGCTATAAGAGAACTAACATACTTGTGCGCCCAATTTTGGATGGGACTTCAAAGAATTGTTTTAATTGATACTGCTGCCATTATCTTTTAAGGGAAGGTCTTATGCCTCATTTTCTCTGTATGTAAAATCGCTGACAGGCACATCAATCTCCTTTTGGGACTTCTTTTGTACTGTAGTAAAAAATTATTTCATAAATGATGGATAGTATTGTAACCCCATGACTGATTTTCTTCCTTAGGGGAAAGGAGACATGGTAACATACTGGCTTGAAGGTAAGAAAGCCTCTGACTTCCAGAAGACAAACACCAGTACATCTGTAACTCCTCAAGATGCCAACAGAACTTCATACACTTTGATACCAGGCGTACTTTCCAGTGATCCTCTCTGAAGTCCTGCTTACTAGCCAATCACTGGCTCCAGTATCCATTCCGGTTTTTGGCTTGCTAGATCATTCTGCTGAATTAGAAAATTAGAAAAGAGGTAGCACACCCCTTTGGCCTTGTGAATATATTAGCTCAGATTTCATTCACAGGTGTCTCTCCTACCAGTGGCACTGAAAACACAAAAAAGCAAAAACTTATCTTGGGGAATAATACATACATACAGCTACCAGGGCAGAAGGTGTTTTGTGTTGCTTCTTGATTAGGTTTTGCTGGGTAATCCCCTGCCAGCAGACACCATGACTTCGAGATCTGCTGTCCAGACATTCCAGTCTGTAAGCTGCTCCCACAAGAAAGAAGGAGACAATGCAGTATTGTAATTTAGTGGTACAATAAACCTTGTGGTTGTGACTGGTTTTGTACTGTGAGAGTGAAAAATGAGATGTGGGCTGTGTGAGAAAGCAAGGTCCATGGAAAGAGGGGGATGAAGCAGAGCAATGGATACAAATTGAAATGAGAATTTGTGCTCCTGCTTCCATTTCATCTCCATTGTCTGGAGCATAGAAAAAAAAGAAAGTCTGGTGTGTCTCCATACAGTCAATTTCTAGGGACACCCGATGTCTTGATACAGAGATCTTGGAATCTTGGGAGGGAAACTAAAGACATTGCGTGCTGCTGTTAAACAGACTAAAGTTCACTACAGCTGCTCTTGTCCTTGGCTCTTCTGGGATTTCTCCAAAAAACAGCTCTTAACATTAGCTAATGTTATGTAGTTGCTTTGACTAATGTGGCAATGGACCTGCTATTGCTGGCTAGCTGTCTGTGAAATCAGGCAGCCCTCTGAGTCACTGAGTAATCTAGGACACAGCTTAGAAAAGGTCATTCCTGAGCAAGCATTTCCTGTAAAGAGAGACCCATTCCTACCAGTGGAGTAATCTGTAGATGAGCATGATTCTGTGAGCACTGCACTAGTAGACTTCCTTTAAAAACTTACCATTTAGGGCTAATCTATTTTGAAGAGTTTAGCCAGCTGCAGTTCAACTGATTAACAAACAATCTAACAGAATTAAATACATGAAATAGAGAGAAGAAGGATACAAAGCAAGGAACATAGACATAGCTGATTTTGGCACATGAGAGTCCAGTCAAATTTTTTAAAATTAAAATTTTTAATTGGTTTCATATTTTTTGTAAGCTTAAAAAAATACTTTCTCTGTTTTTGAGTTTCATATTAGTAGGTAGTTACTTTTTTTGTAATCTTTGTGAAATAAATCTTTCAGTTATCCAGAGCCAAGAGATGTTCTCCAATACAACAATTTCCTTCATGCAAATGCTATCTAGAAATTGTCAGACTCTCTGCTCTATTATAATCCTTCATAATGTATTAGATGTTTTACATTATTCTTTAAATGAGTTGGCATTTGTTTACGTTTTTATTAAAAAGGCACATATCCTAGGGTTTTTTATGAAATGTGGATGTGAAAGCATATGTTTTGCTATATTTGTCTGTAGCAATACTTCAGTTTTAACTCTTTTACTTTATCTTAATGTTGTTTATAGAATCAAAAGCTCTAAAATGTGTGTCTTATGAGTTTAACTTCTTCTAGAAAGAAATGAGTGGTGAGTGACCATAAGCAAGCTTGTTGGATTGACAGCTTTCAGCTCTGACAAGTCTTCAGGTAGTAATTCAAAGTCTGCTGAAGATAATACAGACTCTTGCAGACTTAGGAGGCTTAGAGTCTGGTGTTTATCTACAAAAGAGATACAGCTTGAATGATACCTGTGTCAGCCTACTTCAGTTTTGTTGTTGTTTATTGATCAAACAGAGCATATCCAGCATGAGAACTGGATTATTTTCTAAGGACCATAGAATCTATGATAACTCTTCTACAACTTCAAGCAGTAGTCCTTATGAATGTCAGTTTGTCTGATGACTGTAATAATATGATGCTCTTCCTCCAGAAGACAGAAGTACAGGGTAATGAACGTCACAGATGCAAACACAAGGGTCCTCAGTCAATTGACAAGTATTTTAAGATTTATCTTGGATTTTGACAGGTGTAGTCAATGGCTACAGAAACATTTCAGATGCAGGAAAGCGTTTACCAGCTGGTAACATATGATAACAGCACAGTGTTCATCTGTGACATGCTTTAAATCCACAGAAGTTCACATCTCAGATGTGGAGTCAGTCAGCTAATCTAGCAGGAATTCTTTTCTAAAATGGCACTCTATACAGATAAGTATGTGATATGTTCCTCCTTTCCTTGAACATTGTATTCTACGAGAAAATTGGAAAAAAATACAATAATAGAGCTGAAGGAGTGAAAGCAATATGTACCTTATAGATTACTTCATTTCTTCACTCAGCAGCCATTCATTGTCCACAGTCACGCAAAATAATACAGAGGATACTAATACTGTATTTCTGATGTGGTGATTTTATGGAAGGATTATGCATTTTGATTAGTGCTTATTGCAGTTCCATCTACATAGCATTGGGAATGTAGATAGGAATATTAAAAAATCACACAACACAAAAACTGACTTATGAAAGTCTTTAATTAGATTGATGAACTTTCACTATCTTGTTTCAACTTCAATATTGAGGAACAGACTGAACAATCACAACATTTAAAAAAATCACAACAAGTAAAAAGAAAACATCATTAACATATTTCCAAGTGTAAAACTTCCTAGATTTCATTCAAACCATTGGCACTGGAAAGAGACTGTGTTTTGCCACCAAGAAGTTATTCTTTATCCCCTAGATTAGGTAGCAAACATCTTATATTTAGCTTGTTACTGATATGTGCAGGGGGTCTCCAGTTTCAAGGTTATTTTTTTCTAAACAGTTATCTGCTTCTTCATACAGCTGATTATTCAAACCAAATTTATTCAAATAAAAGTGAAATAAAATCAGGTGTTCTTTGCAAACAGTGCACGGGCATAGTATGATTGTTGAGCCTGACTGTGCAGTCAAAGGATGCAGAGTCTCTCCAAGATCTATGTCTGATCAGTATGAGATTCCCCAGTATGTAGAACATCTCTCCCATCCCACTTAGACACTTACTAATAGCCCTTCCATCTGAATTGACCTCAATAGTAAGAATCTTTGGTTTTTTTAAGTGTCTTTCTGGGGCTGTCCTTTCAGACTAGTAAAAAGACAAGGCTATGCTACCTTATTCTGATTATTCTCCAGCTGACTACCATCTGCTTTTCAGTTAATGAGTTCTCTATCCTAATTCCTCTCTGAATTTTTCCCTACTTCATGGTAGTACATATAAAACATTGGATTATACATTTTTTACATTCTAAATTGGAATTCAGAAATGAAATTATTTGCAAAAAAATGCCCTCTCCAAAGAAAATACAGGAAGATTCCCTTTCTAATTTTAAATTTGCTTAAATGAACTTTCTAATATAGAGACATGAAATAACCAGTTTGAAATGTGAGAGAGTGGGTTTTGTAGATTTTGTGTGGAAACCTTCCAAAGAGCATTCATACATCTGCTGATGTTATTTAGTGCCCCACAGGATACTAACCACAGTCCTCTGGTTCAGACAGCAAACAAGCTACCCCATCTTCTGTAGTTGTACCTCACTCTTCCACTGCACTAGGTTTAAAGTGCATATGCACCCTTTTTGGAACTAAATTCAAAGAACTGGATTCAACAGTTTCCATACAACACTAAATTTGACCCTGAAGATTCACATCAAATTTTTACTGTTACACCTTTGTGAATTTTGCCTTGGATTTCAACAGCAACAAAATAGTTACTTCCTGCAAGTGAGTGCCAAATATGAAGCTAATGTAGTAGCATCCTTATGTACATGACTGTGTATAACTGCTGATTATTAGTGCATTTCATAGTAAAATACAGTGATGTGCAAATAAGTGTTTTGATGAGATCTGAAAATGAATCAGCTTTCCTGGCATCAGATCCCTACTACATCTAATTTTTTTCTGTTGCTCTTGTATCCTGCCTTCAGGCAGAAAAACACTCTCTGTCCCCACCTAAGGAGCCTGTTCAGGGAAAGCTACCGAAGAGAAAATACACATATGGCAGAATGCACTAAACATATTGCCTCTGTGACCAGAATTTAACACAGTTAATCTGACAAATTTGGTTACTTTTGCTATCATGAAGGACACTTCTTTTTCTGTTCTACTCTCACTAGAACAAAGTACAGACCCAGATTTCCAAAGTGTTTAACCCTTTCTCACTCCCTAAGTAATGACACTTGAAGTTGAAATACTAAAACTGAATCTTTCAGAATTGATCAAAGGTTCAAGGCTTTTACCAGTGGTTTGGGGAAATACTGAATGCAAAGCACTGGAAAATTTCAATTTTCAATTGCCAGGATTTCACAGGGGCTGTATTGAAGCACAGACCTGGGATACTTTAACTCTGTTGAAAGAACTGTGTGTTCTTAAACAGCCACAACAGAGTTGTTCTTAAAAAAACTTTCTTCTTCTAAAGGATGGAAGGAATTATAAATTGCAACAATAGGCTTGAAGCAGGAAAGTTAGAAAGACACCTTTGAGGAGATCTCAAATTAATATGTGGCTACATTGTGCATTCTGTGACCTGCTCTTGCAAACGAATGTATAATGTATATGCACCCATCCATGGTGCAGTACGAAAAAACATTAAGCATAAACACTTGTATCTGACACAAGGCTAATTCACGCAACTGTTCTGAATGGAAAAGAAGCCATGATTTAGACACCAATGAAAGCTGAATCTCCTTGTCTGATAAAGACACAGAGGGTCTGGAATTCTAACACTGACAGGACCGATAAATTAACAGTAATGCTTATAGATGAAAGTTTGCCAGAGAGCAGTAAAAGTCGCTTCTAGATCCATTCTCTGTGTTGTTGCCAGACATTAAAGGGCAGATACCACCAGAGAAATAACAAACTCTCCAAGAGCAGTCCCAGTAGGGATTGTGTGTTCAGGCTGGTTGCAGAGTAGAAATGAGTTGAGCATGAGCTGCATTGCAGCTGATGCCCCACTCTGTGTGTTAAGAATCTGTCAAGAAAACACTTCTAGTCTACATCTTAGGAAACTCCTCTACATGTTTTAATACAATTAATTTTGGAAACTTAGACAGAAACCTTTCAGGACTCAAAAATCTTCATGTCAGAACTGCATTGTCTAGCAATATGGTTTTACTGGCAACATGTTGAAACTCAAGATTCTGTGTGCTGATTGTGCTCTGCAAATAAATA